GTAGGGCAGGTTTTACAGGGTGCCATTAAACCACAAGCTCCATTTCACACACAGCTCCCAGAGCCTGTCACTGTTTGTTTGATTTGGGAAACTTCCTCGGACACACCATAAAGAAGATTGATTTTCAAAGGAACCCAAAGAGTCAAAGCTAAAAATGTGTCTGTGTCCACCCAAAAGGGACTGCTTAGACTTGAAAATTGAGCCATATATTCACATTTTATTCCTTTCTTCTCTGCTACAAAAATCACAACTAAGACCCGGGTAATGGGATTTAACAAGAGGCCCAAAATGCCCAACTTAAAACCAGTAAGATTTTCCATTCCAGTCTCTTCTGCTCTCTCACATTCAAAGCAGGCAGCACACACAGTCTTACCCTATTTTGGAGATTTTCCTTAAAATGGCTCTGTAAAAGACTTCTCTACTCCATCATTTCTTTTCCTGACAGCTTAGGACTAAAAGAGCTTTTCACTTCAATGCCAAGTTTTCAAGTGGTCAGAGCACCATGGAATCATGGAATGGTTTGGGCTGCAAGGGAAGTCAAAGCTCAGCTTATTCCACCCCCTGCCATAGGCAGGGACACCTTCCACTAGCCCAGGTTGCTCCAACCTGGACAACCTTGGACTGTTGCAGGGCTGGGGCAGCCACAGCTTCTCTGGGCAACCTGTGCCAGGGCCTCAGCACCATCACAGCCAGGAATTTCTTCCCAATATCCCATCTAAACCAGTTTGAAGCCGTTCCCCCATGTCCTGTCCCTCCATCCCTTGTCCCCAGTCCCTCTCCAGTTCTCCTGGAGCCCCTTTAGGCACTCTCAGGTACCCTGGAGCCTCCTCTTCTCCAGGTGAACCCCTCCCAGCTCTCCCAGCCTGGCTCCAGAGCTGCATGGAGTTGTGGAATTCCGCTCAGCTGTGTCACTGGACTGGCAAGAACCTTAAAAAAACACCCAGGAAAGAAAGACACCTGAGAAATGGAGCACAAAGCTGGTGGAAATGCTGAGCAGAGGGGCTGGGAGGGCTGCAGGGCCACTGCTGGTCACCTCCAACAGTGCAGGTGGTCAGGAAAAGGCTGCAGATAGAGAGGAAGCCAAACACTCAGGGGCACTTCAGCCTGCCAGAGTTTTTTACATCTCTCAGCTCTGCTTCACCAACCAATCACTGATGAATTTACAACACACTAAAGAACAACACAGGATATGGGATCTGCCCTCAGGGTAAAAAGTTTACATTCAGAGATCTCAAAGCCCTTTGCAAAGGAAGCCACTATCACACCACATGTCAGAACATCCAGATAGAGGTTACCTTTAAAGTTATTTTTTTTAGGGCTTTTTTTTTTCCTTCTTTTTTTTCCCTTGGGCACTCACAAGCCTTGTTCAGAAAAAGCAAACCTCAAGATCTCTTGTAATGTTGTTTAGGAATGACAATTCTTTCCAACAGCCAGAGAATAAAGATTTGAACAGAGGAAAAGGAGAAGAGTGAAGTGTCCCTGTGGCAAATCCAGATTTCATGCTGGAAGTGGTCCCTAAGAAGTTAAATTCTGTTTTTTAAAGCTTATTTTAAAATGTAAACTGAATTCTGAGGCAGAGTAGCACAGGTAAAAATCTAGAGAATGAGCTGCAGAGCAGGGCTCACTTCTCAGAGAGGAACCTTTCACCCATTAAAGGATTTTGGAGAGGCTCTAAATGTCCTCATCAGTTTGAACTGAGAGTTAAGCACTGAAACTTTGCTCAGTTTGGTTCAAATATGGCTAAGGATTCTTTCACACTCTCAAAAAATTTCTATTTGCAGCACAAAGCTGGTCTGTAAACCTTGTGCCTTAAATCCCTTCCTGCCCCCTTCCAACCAAACCCCAGCAGCCTCAGCAGGAGCCCCTTCCCCCAGGATCTGGCCTTCCAAAGACTCCAAGGGCTCTCAGGGAGCATTAAAGAGGTGGGATTTCCAGTCACAGTGGTGAGACACGGCTGATTTTTTAGGGAACGGAGCCAAAGGGGATCAGGGAAGCTCTCCTGGGGCAAATGGACACAGAAACTCCTTGAACACATTCTGGGGGAGATTTTGGCTCCTGTAAACTCAGTCCTGGTCTCTTAAATACACCCCCCTCCTCTATCTACACTGCAAATGAGACTGTCACCATCATTGAACTTTCTGTTTTAGAAAACAACAGCATTAATCTCAAAACTGTGTCAACAAAATATGCCCATTTGATTACTTCCCACCCCACCACAAAGAGGGAATTAGGATATTGTTATTGCTGTTACTCATGCCTGAAGTTTGTAAATGTGAAGGTTAATAAAGTCATTCCATTCCCTGGGAATGAGTCTTGATTGTGATAAGCAGGAAGACAGATCAATCTCCCAGCTGGGGGAGATAATCTGCAGCAAGAACTGGTGTCCCTGTGATTAATAACACCTTACAGGCCACAAACACACCCATCAGAGTTCACTTTCATCTGATAAATACATTCCAGGGGAGCAGCTCTGGAGGACAGGGAAAGCCTGGCCCAACTGTAAAACTCAAAAGTCTACTTAGTTCTTAAATCCATCAAGAACCATCACCACACATCACAGGATTTGGTGCACTCAGGGTGGGATTTACTGCTGCATCAGCTGGCATTTAATAGATATGAATATATTACCAACATACACCCGACCTTGGGGCAATCTCTGTGCTCAGGAGGAGGCCCCATCACCCTGAACCGTGGAACTCCACCCTCAGCAGCTCTTTAAAACTCCATCTCTTCTCCAAGGGAGGGTATGGAATAGCTACAGCTCAACCAGAAGGAGAGGTTTTGGCATTCCCCTGAGCCCACCTGCCTGATCCAAATGACTTGCAAGGATCCAGTGCCTGCTCCAAGCCCTCTGCCAACAATTTACAAAATGCAAGGAACCTGCAGCACGTGGGAGAAAAAAAAAAAGCTGTAAAACAAAACTCAGCCTTGATTTCCACCGAGTCAAGCAACAAGAGATGGATGCAAAATTAAATTAAGATGACCTGCAGAGACATGAGTGGGCATTTATTAGATACTCTCACCTCCACAGCCTCACTGCCGGCCCAGAAAAGGCAGGACAACACGGAATTATGACCATCTGTGCTAGTGAATCACACAAGAGGTAACAGAAGAGATCAAAGCCGGGCCTTAAAACATTTCCAGTTGTCTACAGTGCACGAGGCAGGACCTGCTGTTCCATCCCCCATGTTCAGAGGGGTGACCACACAACCCTGACAGCCACAAACCCCCTGCTGGAAACTTTTCTGCAAGTTCCAAATCCAAGTAACTCTGAGGATGAAGAACTGCCTTGTGATACAACCCCGAAGATACACGAGTTTCTCTCAAACTTGTCTGTGAACAGTTCAGGTACAAACCTCCAGAGCAATTCCCTGTGTGGGTTAAGGATTTACTGCAGGACAACAGGTTACCTCAGTGTAAAAGAAGTGTCAGACTTGTTTTGGTCCAAGTTTTAGGGCCTCCTGTCCATCAGCTGACAATAGCTCACATCCAGAGGACCAGGACACTTCCAGGCACGCTGAGAGTGAACCTGCAGTCCCACACCTACACTTGCACCCTCAGGATTTAATCATTTGCAAGAGGGCAGCCTTCACCTCTCCCAGCAGAACATCTCTGCCATCTCCTCCAAGGAAAAGGCTCCAAGGATCAGAAACTGCAGCTCACAACCTGAGGGGAGTGTGTGAGCTCAGACAGCAGCTGCCCCTCTGATCAGGGACAGGCATTTGGGTCACAGCCACAGGAACCCGATCAACACAGACACACAAGTTACTACAGAATTGCAAGCACTACAGCACACAGGCCTCTCACTGCTTGAGCAGAGCAGCAAGAAAGCTGAGGACAAAGTGGTTTGGATCTTGAAACAAAGGCCCAGAGAGCAGTGGATTTCCACTGCCTGTGTATAAACCCACAGCACAGCGACTTCAGCCCTGCTCACCACCAGAACAATGAGCTGGAGAGGCGAAGGGCAGGAAGTGTTTTATTGATTTGCTCACTTTTTATTCACAGTCTGGGCTGTGACCTGTGGTTTTCCCGCATTACTCCACTCCTCCAGCATGGCGTCGCCACACTTTGTCAGTCAGTGAAAAGCCTAATTCTCCACAGAAGTGCTGGATGTCCCCACCTCCCCTTCCTGGACCCAGGACTGAGCAGTTCGCTGTCGGCCGGTGACCTCTAGTGGTGAGTGAAGGAGGGAGAGGGGAAAGGACCGCAGTTCCACCGGGAAAACACTGATCCTTTCTCCCTCCACATCAAAACCAAGAGGGTCGGCCAGCCTCCCCTAAAGGGCTGCAGTGTCCATACAAACTCCCCCCACCTCAGCGGGGCTGCTCTCCTCACAGAGTTTGTTACAAACGGCAGGAATTGCTTTATTTACCTCCTTCCCCCCCGCCTAAGGTGAGGAACAGAGATGCCAATGCCCTCCCTGTAACACTGTCCCCTCCCAGGACACAGCCTCCTGTGAGGCTTGGGGTGTCCCAGCGCTGCCATCTCAGCTCAGACCACTGAGGAGGTGGTTCTGTGTTCACAGAACCACAGAACAGTTGGGGTTGGAGGGACCTTAAGGACCACTTCATTCCACCCACCTTCCACTGCTCCAACCTGGCCTTGGACACTTCCAGGGCTGGGGCAGCCACAGCTTCTCTGGGAAACCTGTGCCAGGGCCTCATATCTTGGGAAAGAGCAGTGGGAAGCCCACACTGCAGGGGCTCCCAAGGTAAGGAAGGTGTAATTACAGACAGAGGGTGATGTAAATCTTCCCTCAGACTGAAAACGACACATTCCCACTGCAGCATCTGCTCGGTGAACAAGTCACAGTTGGTCTGTACCTCCATCCAACGCTACTCCAAAGTATGTTATTTTTTTGGACAGGCTCTCCAAGAGCTCATATTTTACTCTCCCACAACCAAACCCCACAGATTCAAATCCAGGCAATAATATTTTAAACAATCCAGCTGATCAGGAACAAAGACCTGACCACTCCACACCCACAGGAACAGCAGTACCTTTGCTTTCTTCATGTGACCCATGATATTGCCGAGATCTTCTACATCAACGACAGCATTTGTGCCTCCAGCTTCCTCAGCATCAGCTTCCTCCTCACTGCTGGTTTCAAACAATTCCTCTGCCTGTGAGAGAGACCAGAGAAAAACAATTAAGAATTTATCTGAATGTTAAACACAACTTTTATCTAAGTGAAATAACTGTCCTTATTAGTAAAGACCTCTGAAAACAAGGAATATCCTACTGATAACCTGAAGGATGTACATGGAAGCCTGAACCCCTTTAAACCCTTAAAGTGCCCCTGGATGAATGAACAGGGAGAGAGGGATTTGCTTTCCAAAGTAAACTCTCCATAGAGCAGGAAGGCTTCTCTCTTTCTGTACAAATCCAAGGCACAGCACAACTGCACTGGTGTAACAGCAAGATTTATTCCTCTTACTCCTGCAGCAGCCAGCACTCCCAACCTCAGCCAGAAGAGACACTGTCCTACAAAATTCCCCAGGGCCATAGCAAACATTCCCAACCCAAAACAAATGGTTTGAGGGAAGGTTAAAGTGCCACAGCAGCTCTGGTCTTGCACTGGAAAGCGGGAAAGAATCTTATTCAAAATCTGCAATCGGCACTCTAGAAGAGACACAAATTATTACAGGTAGACACATACAGAGGATATACAGGACTTGCCCAGGTAACACTCCCCCAGCTGCCTTTGGAAAAACCTTGGATGAGCAGGTTAACTGCTCTCAGGGAACTAAATGCTTCACCTGGCCATGGGACAAAGTAAAGGCTCTGATGAGAACCCAGAACTCAGACTGGCCCCCCTGGAGCACCTGCCACAACCATAAGCTTTGCCCCAGTCAGGAGCAAGACTCCCTCACCACACAAATGCATCCAGCTGGGTCCAGCACTAGTTCTTTTTGGATGGCTCATTCTACTTATTATCAGCCATGGGTTCTCATCCCTCATCCTCCTCTGCTCCAGAACAAAGCATCAGGCTCCCACAGCATCCCTGTGACGTGGAAGGAGAGAAGCAGAGATGAGCCCTCAGGGACTGTGGCTGTACCTCAGTGTTCTCGTGCTCCGACACTCCATGTTCATGATCCGAGCTCTCCTTGCTCTGCTTCCCTGGGGATCTGCACTTCCCTTTCTTGCACTTCCCACTGCAGGGCTTCCTCTCCCCTCTGCAGAGGGCCTGGAGCCGAGTGAGGAATTTGGCTTTCCAGGCCTCGAAGTCGCCCTCGATGCTGCCGTGCCTGCTCCGCGCCACGTTGCAGTCGCCCTCGGTGCGTGTCATCACACGGCTGGCACCGAGCACCCACAGCCACCTGTCCACCCTCCTGCCAACCTGCGACGGCAGCAAAGGGGCAGGGATATAAAACAAACCCAAAGGAAAGCAGGAAACTAAAGATAAAAAAAGGAAAGGATCAGGCCTGGAAGGAGAGCTAGTGAGCTGCACAGGACTGCTGGGCAGGGGCTTGGGGAGTCCCTCAGCACAGGCACAGGGCAGACTGAACAGCCCACACTGCCTCAGATTGCTGGAAAATCCCTCTGCCATCACACTGGTGTGGCAAGGGATGAGCTCTGGGAACAAGCTGCTCTGTGTGATGCTTGCTGCTCACATGGCCCCAGCTGCAAACACAATAACCTAGTAACAGGACATGCCACTTTCGTGAGTGAGGTGACACCAATGACCAGGCAAAGATACCGTCACAGTTCACATCAGGGAGCAAAGCTAAAATCCACAACACACAAAGCAGCCAAGTTTGAGCAAAGCCCTCCAAACCAGAGGGCAGCAAGCGAGAATGTTTCCAGTCCTATACCATCATGGGCTGACAGAAAGCTTTCCAAGCTGGGAAATGAACTCAGCAAGGGTTTCCCAGGTTGTATTCCCACATCTCCCATATGGGACTCCCCATTTAAAAGGGCAGCACAATTGCTTCAAAGCTGCCCTGCCCAAATGGCCAAAAAGGCCAATGGCATTGCTTGTACAAGCAGTGGTGTGGCAGCAGGACCAGGGCAGGGACTGTCCCCCTGTGCTGGCACTGCTGAGGCACCTCCTCCAGTCCTGGGAGCAGATTTGGGCTCCTCATGATAAAAAAGACATTGAGGGAATGTGTGCAGGGAAGGGAACGGAGCTGGGAAGGGGCTGGAGCAGCAGGAGCAGCTGAGGGAGCTGGGGGGGCTCAGCCTGGAGAAAAGGAGGCTCAGGGGGGACCTTCTGGCTCTGCAATCCCTGACAGGAGGGGGGAGCCGGGGGGGGTCGGGCTCTGCTCCCAGGGAACAGGGACAGGAGGAAAGGGAACGGCCTCCAGCTGTGCCAGGGGAGGGGCAGGTTGGACATCAGGAGGAATTTCTGCATGGAAAAGGTGGTCAGGCACTGGCAGGGGCTGCCCAGGGAGGTGGTGAAATCCTCATTCCTGGAGGTGTCCAAGGAAGGAGTGGAGGTGGCTCTCAGTGCTCTGGGCTGGGGGACAGGGTGGGGATCAGGCACAGGTTGGACTCGATGATCTTGGAGGCCTTTCCCAACCTCAGTGATCCTGTAATTCTACTTGTGCCCTTAAACCCAGACCCTCAAGTCAGCAAACAGCTGCAATTCCCACCCAGTCCACCAGCACGGCTCAGTTTTGAAGCAGCTCCTCCAGCTGAGGACGTCAGAAGAGCAAAAACCACGAAGGAAGAACAGGGGACACACTCACTGTGTTGTAATGATCCACATACACCGAGTTCCCCAGGCCAAACACGGCATATCTGAGCCCCTTCAGGTAGGTTTTCCCCACACGGAAATCGCTGGCTGCCTCTTCCAGCCACTTGCAGAACCAGGCCGCACTCTCCGGGGGCTGCCCATCCGTGTACGTGGCCACCAGGAACACACAGACATTCCTGCTGGTTGCCTGAACACAGGGACACAACAGCAGGGACAAGATCACTGCACTACCCAAAACACTCGACAGCAGGGAAAGAGCTGGAACACACGGGAAGCTGGAGGGAGCCAAAACACAAGGTGGGACAGTGCAGGTGACAATCCCAAGGGTGGTGAATGACCTGTCCCCTGGACAGGGACACAGTGAGCAGAATGGGACATCTTCCTGGAATCATACAATGTTAAGGAGTTGGAATTGAACCTTAAAGATCATCCAGTCCCAACCCCCTGCCATGGGCAAGGACATCTCCCACTAGACCAGGTTGCTCAAGGTCTCATCCAACCCGGCCTTGGGCACTTCCAGGGTTGGGGCATCCACAACCTCCCCTGGGCAACTTGTGCCAGTGTTCCACCACCCTCACAGGGAAAACCTTCTTCCTGATACCTAACCTAAATTTCCCCTCTTTCAGTTTGTATCCATCACTCCTTCCCCAGTCAGCAGCTTCCTGAACACGCTCCTTCACCACAAAGTCCCCCACAGATAAACACCTAAAACTTCCCAACCTCACATTTCCAGGTTTGTCAGGGGCAATAGCCAGTGCTGACAATTCACACTGAAACCCTCAGGAACTTCCAACACCCAGTTCCCAATGGAGGGGGACACAACCAAAACATTTTGTTAGGATTAATTAAA